GAATCCTCGCGAAGCTTCGACCGTCGTTCTCCAAATCCGCACCGAGGACCAGAGGATCTTTCGCAGAGTCCTTCCCGCAAGTCCAAGAGCGGGCCGATCGATGACTCGACGTTCGCCAAACGGGAAAAGGGGGCCGATGAAAAAAGAAGAACTGGGAGGGCCGGGAAGAGCACGATCCACGCACCGAATACGTTCACCCTCTCACCACTCGGGAACCAACGACGAACCGGTTCACCGTGATCGAATGGGTCCACGGGTTCGATCGATCTGATAGATCTCTCGCGGCACACACCGAGATCCACGCACGTCGGCTGGTTCACGCACAAAACACACAATTGTCGTCAAGGGTGTCACTCGCGTGAGATGTACGGGTGGGTGTGTGCGTTGTGTGCGTGAGTGTGTTGTGTCACGGTGTCACGGGGATCATCCCGTGCGAGGGATGGATGGATCTCGGGGAAAGAAAAACGTGCGTCCTACGTGGCGGCGGAGCGGGAAGGACTTTCGTCCAGGACGGGTTCGATGCGCGCACTGGGGATGAGAGAGAACCAGGGAGAGCAACCCGGAGGACGGAGAACGCTGACACGCCGCGCGCGGCCCGAGTGAGAGAGAGGAAGGGCGGGAAGGGATAGGCGGGAGCGAGGCGGACGCGCGGCTCGGAGAAAGAGAGAAAGAGGAAGGCCAAACGGCGCAAGCTTAAGCCCGCTACCGGGCTTCGAAATACGCATACGACACAGTGGCCCGCACACCAGCTAACCGTGAAACCAGTCCCGATCCAACGAACACACGAATTGCCCCAGTGGCGCGACGACAACGCACGGGTCGTAGGACTTAGTTATCTTGCACTGGGCAAGGGTGTGTTATGCTATCTGTGCAGATGCGTAGCGTTTCATTTAGACAAAAGATTATATCAGTCTTGGAACATTTTGTTGCAGATTTTCGAAGGTTCACAAAGGCTGGTAGTAATGATTTATAACTATGTTTAAGGGTAGTAGGACGTCCATTAACCGAGTCACTAGTTTGCACGATGTAAGTCAGTTAGGGTCCTGGATATTCGGGAACTCAACAATTCAAATTCTTAGATTGTATTTTAGGCTTTGTACAACATGATATGGTACGCTTTGTATAAATACTACTATTTTATTAGCTACAGGAAGGTTAGTTTGGGTGGAAACATTACGTTTTTGAAAGGGCAGTATTAAGCACCATCACTCGACGGGATTGCTTGTGGGTACCGTTCAGTTTTTAACTTTTCAGAATTCTATGCGAAGGGAGGAAATGATATTGGTTCATGAGTTTGAAAATAGGCTTATAATACATGTATGGTACTATTGGTAAATTGGTGGTTTAAGGGAAGTAAGATCAGCATTCTATGATGTATTATTAGTAAAGGTTAAGTAGATCCAGTGGGTCATATACGCAGATACATTTAATATTCGACACGTGTTTGAATATAACGAATAGTTTTTAATACGATTTTATGAAGGGAGTAACTTGGGATAAGCAGCTCACTTTCCACAGAATAATTAAAAACGAAGTATTTTACTTATTATTTGATAGGTATACTTTTACTGTATATTTATAGATATTATCAGTGACTTGCGAAATTAAACTTTCAGTCTCATGTAAATTGATAGCTTAAGGTTAATGAAACCGGTAAACAATAAAGTATTACCGTCAGAGCTTAAGTAGAATTAGTAAGTCGTGTACAGACACCGTTGAATATTCAATGCACGTTAGGACTTGATGAATTTTCTAAAACAAGAAAAAGAGAAAACTAATTTTAATTGGCGGAAATCGAAATTTTTATGATCTCAAAGTTATGAGCAGCTTTGCGATGATATTAAAAAGGAGTACGTGCATACTCAACCGTGCCACGGCTTAGTACATCTTATAGTAAACTACTAGGTATCTCCGTTCACGTTTGTGTTTATTGAACTAGGTAATGGAGAATGCGCATGGGAACGGGACGTTCACGCACGATGGATTTGATTACTTTGCGATTTGTTGAGGCCGTTGCCCAATCTATTGGATATGACATTACCTGCTTTAATTTGGATCATTATTCCAACCGTTTGAATTTCATTAAATACCGGTTCGATAGGAAAGTTATACGATAAAATTAAACAATCGACTTCATATAACTGGTCGAATAAAATAATAATACGCGTTGAATCTTTCAGCGTTTATAACATATAAAAACCTTCTACAAATTATAAAATAAAAATTTTAATCGAATTCAACGCTGCCATAATTACTTTCACTTTACTGAAACTTTTTCTGAAGACTGAGTCTCATTCAGTATGAGTTCCTTCAAATAACTCCACAAAAGTTGTATAGCCGCATAAAATTCTGCGATCTAGCTAAGAGAACACCTCACCCCCGATGACGCTCACTGTCTTTCACTCCTTGCACGATCAGAGTTCCTGAGTTAGTCGAACGAGAAAAAACGCGCGGGAGTATTTTAACCTCTTATCTAAGTGATAAATTCGTTCCTCTCTATCACCGAGGCAAAAAGGATACAAGAGGGGGATGGAGCGGAACGAAAGATAGGAGGTAAAAGCGCGTGAAAGATGCACGTTAGGCCGGATGAATGTTCCGCTATCGTGGCTCTAGAGATCTCGGGGAGGGAACATCAACGGCGCGTAACGAGTGTTTAGCGGTCGATTTTGAAAAGTGCCCTCTTCTCTCTCGCTGCTAGAGTCGCCACCTGTCGCGACCCAGTTTCCCGAACGACCTTACAACAGTTCGTCCTAATTTCGCACGTTAACCGTTTCCTTGGCGTTCCTAATCATTATTTTGAGGAACACGCGCGCTAATACCTCCATCAACGCTTCTACAAAGACAAAAATAAAAAAATAGACGAAATAAAATACGATTTCGAACGAAGGAAGACGAAGTCTGGATTCTAAATTAGAAATTTAAGTGTCGCTGTTAAGCATTTAGAAGTAGAAGACTATTTTTATCAATACTCCTGGTTATTTATATTATCTTAATATTATTAATGTTACTTTTTATTATGTTCAAAATACAATTGGCTTAGATTGTTTCGACGCTCCCTCGAAAGTTTCAAACATCGCTCGTGAGAGATCATCGAGGTATATGCTGAATAACTTTCCATTACCTACATTGTAACTTCTGTAACGATTACATGAGACTAATAATTAACACTCATTGTTAATGAAAAATAATTATCTCATTACGCATGATACTTTTCGAAGTTTTTATTAACATCGACGAGACGTTTCGGAGCACAATGAGATTAGATCATAGTGATTCACGCATAATTTACGTGTATACACTTTGAACAATACACGCCTAGTTCCTTAATTATATGTACAGTATCGTAATTAAGCTCCGCGTGAGACATAATTACCGATTAATTAATCGTTCGTGAACGGCTGTAAGTAGAAGGTGATCCGTGTTCGGATATTCTACACGCGAAAATTTTAGTTTACAAAAGTTCAAAGATAGGAGTATCACTCCTGACTACGCTTATTCAACTTTACTTGATGGTTTCGCGCGAAAGCTTCACAGTTCGTTAAATCTTAGCAAGATTTGGGAAGAGTATTAAAAGCCGCATTATTCATCACGGGAGCTTTAAGGAAAAAGCAAAGATAACGAAACAACAACAAGAAAAACTGAACAAACTTCCACATAATGTAACAATCAAAATATTTATTCGCGTATTTGCGAAAGATAAGTATACAGAAAAGTTTATTCTCACGGGAGAGAATAAGTTTTTATAAATAATACGAATACAAACTTCTTTGATACATCGATAACATGACGATAATATTTAATATCAAATTCATAGAGGAAAAAATGATATTGACATTTATCGAATTCAGTTTGAAATCCTCATCACAAATGCGACTCAATATCGCAAAGCAAAATGTTACTACCAGCTCGACTTTATTTTTCGTTTTTATACGCGAACCGAATGGTATTCCCGTTTTTCCGCGCAGCGCAATAAAAAGGTTTTATTATTATTATCAAAGTTTGTGCCCTTTTCGTGGTCCGCGAACGACCCGAAGGAGGAGGGTCCACGTTTGGTTTCCCATTGAGACGGGGAAAAGGGATGAGACGGTAATCAATGTTTCGCGCACCGTTGCACCGTGCAGTTCTACGATCCTCTAGAACTCCTTTGGAAGTGTTCACCGATGCTCAGTCTCTCAATGTTGATAAAGTCGTCGCGTGCGACGCGAGCGCGCACGCACGCATGGAGCATCGGAATTAATTATTCATCCGCCACGTATAACGAGGAATTGACGGTTGCATGGACTATGATCACCCGTTGCACGGTTAAATGCCGCGCAAGTCGTCGAGTTATGCGGCGATATGCAAGGAATGTTTATCCTAGTGTGTACGATTTGCATGCGACATGACGAAAGCGGATTCCGATGGGTATATCTGTTCGTCTCATCAGTAACGTCTCTTTCTGAAATTACTTATAAACAAAAAAGCTGATGACCCGCGAGTAATTTCAATCTGCAATTTGTAGATCATTTCTTTTTATGAACTATTTCATTATTTTTTCTATGTACTCGTTCACTCTAAAAACATGTCATTGTCACAAACTAGTGGCTGTGATTGTTTTCACGATGCGGACGGTACATCGGTACAGATTTCCACCTATGTTTCATCTCGGGTCAAATCGATAGACGCGTCTGACGTGCTTCCATCTGACGTGCGTGCCATAAGTGAAAGCCTGCGAAACGTTTATCTGAAATCCTCGTTTATCACTCACCGGTATCGCCGTTGCTCTGCGTACTGGTCTCCTCGGTTTCTACCTTTTCACCGGTCTCTGCCGTCTGCGTGACATCGTCCGCTAAAAAGGAAATTCGCAGAGATTACAGATGGATTCGATGCGTGACGGTGTTCCCTCGGTTAAATGTTATCAACTCAAACCCGTGAAGTAACATGTAACGAGGGTGGATAGCTGAGAATAGCTGATTGGGCGAAATGATACTATTGGTATCATTGGAATTTAATGTCTTAATATTTTATGATGAAAGAAATGTCCAAGTAAATATTCATCACAATCGTGTAATTATTGATTTTGATAACGATCTTTTCCGTTAATCTTGCATCTGTGGATCTTGAGGATTGTATCGAGAATCCCTAATGGAAGAGGCAACACTAAGTCTAGGGAAAATATTTGGAATATTGAAAACCACGAGTATATACTTTTTTAATAAAACTCTCCTGATTTAAAAAAAAAATCTGTAATATTTACATGTTATAATACATGTATTTTATGTACAGTATTTTGTATTTTTCATTTTGCAAAACTGCTTGTTGGCTTATTCATCTTAACAGATTGATTTGGTCCCATTCATTCAATATGTTCCTTCAGTTCAGGATCTGAACACAGCTGGTAAAATTCTGATGAGCACTGGGCCAATTGTTTCAGATCCCTTACATTTAACAGTCTCAAGATTTTGAACTTTAACTCTAGTGGTAAGCCCTGCAAGCCAGGACACATTATTCCTGCGTTCATTGATACATCTAAACGCACTGGAGTGGCTATACAATCTTTAAACCTATTAAATAATTCATTGACAGTCTACATCATCCTTATAAACAGGCAAATATACATCTGGGCTTAACATACCTGTGAGATATTTCTTTTAGGTTTCTATAACGACCACTGAGATCGCTAGAAAAAGGATTAACATATTTCAAAGTCTGTACACTAATGCAGTAAGTTCTTCTATCTTCTATTACAGGATAAAAGTTAACAATCAACGTATCCCCTGATGGAACAGCAATGAACTTGCATTTAACATCAGGTACAGCTGGAAGTGTGAAACTTATGTCATAAACATTAGACTCCTTCAACTTCCAATCCTTTGGTATGCGTAAGGATCTAAGATTACGACTGCAATAAATGTGGCACAATGCATAAGCAGTGAAAAACACCATAAGAAGAACAAAAACCTGTTGAACACCACTGCATACCGTCGCGAATTAGATTTATCATTTGTTGATATATGAAACCCAGCCTCTGCCAAAAATACTATAAGTAATGCCACTAGATAATCATGGTGCGTGGAACTTTCGTTTAAATCCTTTATTATGCCCTCCAACGAGGGCACTAAGTTTGTAATTGTGCTCTCCTCTGCCAATATAGGCTCTAACATGACTGTCAACGTTTTCAAAACAAACTTAACCTTTATACTCCGCGATTCTGTAGAACATATGATCATGAAAATAAGTAAGCTTCTCAGGCAAATCCTTAGAGGCGCTGATGTCGTCAGCGACACTAACGCACTCATCTACAAAGGACCTTAGACGTAGTTGCGTAGCGACAGCTGTCGCGTGGTGGCGCATACTTTATAAACATGCACACAAAGTTCGTTTAATTTGTATTTTTTTGTGTACACAAATAGATATGCAAGAAAAGCTTCTGACTATAATACATAGGAAAGAATAAGAGCATTTCTATGTCAACATTGTTTTCCCTTAAAATTTCATCGAAAGTTCCAACCAATTCAATTTTGTTTACCTCTGGTGGCGACCTCTCTAGAGAAACATACACACTACTCTGGAAGTGACAGTGCGTACAAAAAAATGCAATATGTCATGAGTAATAAATAAATCAGTTTTACATCATAAAAGATAAGTGTACAGCTTTTTTTGCAAACGTTATGAGCCTTTTGATAAAATTTTTTATTATATTATTTGACCTAAATAGTATACCAAAGTGTAATGTACCAATGCACGGTAAAGACAAATTGCAACAAGTTTATCACAGCTGTGTAGTTGATTAATAAACTCTGTCACATTTAACAGGAAACAACAATCAAGTAACGCGGGTAGAGATTTCGCGTATCGGACGTGCGATTTTAAACTTATCACAGTTAAAGCTTTATCGGTGAGTAATATTTTTTATCGCTAACCGAGCTTATCCGTGAAGCTTCTTCGATCGTTAAGTCGATGATAAATGAATCTATGAAATGTCATGCATCTCCGTGTATCGAGTAGGTACATTCGCATGCTTTTCAGAAAAATGTGACTTGATAAATATGATTGTTGTGAGACAGAGCATATCGTCTTCCCGTTTCACAACGAATATTAAGAAAGAAAAAAAAACAAAAATTCGAGGCGAGTGAAACGATGATAAAATAAATAAAATAAAACCGGTATAGGAGCTTGTCATGTGTTTCTTTCGTGAGAACTGTTCCGTTGAGTTCATCGGTAACTGGAATCGCGTACAATGATTGCTTCTAAAGATCTGAAATTCTGGGAGTACGCACGAACCATTCCGCGTATATATTTTCAATCTATTCCAACGTATGTATAATTACTACGATCCAGAAAGCCGTTCCCTGATCCCTTATCCACCTGCCTAGTAATAATCCTTCCGCCAGGAACGTAATATCGAATTCATCAACCGGAACGACTCACATAAAACCACTTAACGGTTAGAACAAGATTTTCCACGTATCTGATCCAGATTGTAAACGAACAAACATGACAAATCAGTGTAAACGAAACTGTATGCCCGGTTAAACGTTCACCGAGTGATATTAAAGAATCCAAAGGACATCGAAAATCAGATCAAGTATTTTATCATCAATCGCCAATTGAATCCACAATAAGATTCGACCGTTATCTAACGCAAATATTTCTTTCGTTCGAGGGAGCCGTCTTGAACAGGGATCGTTGGAGTTTCTCTCGCGCGGAAATTAAGTCCCGTCGTCGGGACGACACGTCACGTGACCGACGACGACATATTAGAAAATAAACCCGGTGGGACGGACGGAAGGAGTCGCGTGGGGCCCGCGGTTCGCTGCGTTACGACCCTGTTCGGCATGCAAGAGCGCTCCGTGCCACTTGTTGCATGGCCGCGCTCGGCCACTCGCGTTTGAATAAACTGGTTTGCAACAGCCATGGGGATATTTCAGGTGGGCCCACGTACCGGGGGATCCCGGTGTCTCTGTGTTGTTCTCCTGGCACGTCGCGTCCGCCGATTTTGCCTGTCCATGGGGCACAACACTGGTCACTGCACTTGACACAGACGACTCGCACGATTCGGCCATTTTCAGGTTAACTCGCGTTTATCCGCACCGCGGCTATATAGTTGCCCCGCCGCATTCGAATCCGAATCCCTTTTTCGAAACTTCCACGCACGCTTCGCGGTTCATAACGCGCGACTCCCATGACAGATGGCGGCTCCCGGATGTCGAGACTGCTGCTGCCACCTGCCGACCAATTCACGAAGCTAATTTAATCTTTGGCTGACCTAGGATACGCGCAGACCTTGCATTTTATGGGACTTGGGCCCACTGTATCGTTTTAGTATCATTCTTGAAGTTACCGTTTATACATGAATTTAGGGTAATTATTTTAAATCGGATTTTTCATAGGTATTGATTCTACCATGGGTATTTAATATAGTAGGGTTTAGCGACAATAAATGCATACGGCGGGTACATTTAAACGATGGAAATAGCAATTATAGTATTAGAGAAATACTATGTTAAGTTTGTGGACATCTAATGGCGTCCATTGACTTTGACTGATCTTCATTGACACGCATTGGTATTGACTTTGTTTCATTATTGGTTACTGACCTTCATTCATATTCAACATCTATGGACATCCATTGACTTTTATTGATATTTAATGGTGTCGAACGTCTTCACGATTGTATTAGTTTAGGAAATATTGTGGCTACGTTTGCGGTTTACATTTTATTTGTAGACAACGTTGCAGTAAAAATTATTATAAAATCGTATGTATAATTCGTACAGATGTGAGATTTATATTTTATATTTCTTTCATGAAAAAACACGCAGGTATAAATATCAGAAAATAAATGTTTAATGCGTCAACGGTTGAACGTGAAAGAGTTACGTTTCTTTTCCACAATTATCAGTGATCTATTAAGAGGTTTGCCGGAGGTAATGTTACGGTTCCGTGACCGGAAATGGATTGTGGTAGGGCAGAAACTCCCTTCATCCATTTCCTGATGTCACAGCAGTAGCACTCTACGCTGTTCAGTGTTTTCATAAACGTCGTGGTAACGCCACCGATTATTAACAGTTGCTCGCCTGAAAATAAAACGTTCACTAATAAACGCTCGACTTTTCTGTCACTGCTAAAAATAAGCAACATTTAAAGTTTAGGAGATCAGAATCCATGTATCAGTTTTTTACAACAATACCTCTGCGATTTTAGTAATCATCGGACAAGAAACGATGATTAACTTTGATTCATTTGATACTCCTAGCGTTGAATTTTCAATCGATCGTTCAACGGCTACTTTAGGAGAAGCAGTAGGAAAGGTATTGATTTCAAATGGAATAAATATCACGGATTCCGTAGTTGAACTAATTCCTCAATTGGGAACCGAACCTATCGATCCGGCGGTATGTCCGTGTCTCGGGATCGACATTTTCGCCAGTTCCCTCCAGTCGGACTCGTCCGCGTCCCACACGTCGACGCTGTCGATACTATGCGCGGCGATCTCGTTGGTCGACGCTCCGCCGATCACGTAAAGACAGTCGGATACGACGTAGAACGAGGCGAAGCATCTCGGTGATCTCAAAGAGACCGCTCTCAGCCATCTGAAACATCACGCATGCGCCGATATAACGTTGCCTTCCGGGCGTTTATTCCGCGCAAGCGAGTAAATCAAGCGTTTAATCTAGGTAATGGCATGATGCCGTTAGGGGATAGAGAATATCGAGCTAACAAATTTTTGATCGGGTCGTAGCACTCGACGTCCTTTAAGAACAGCTCTTTCTTCGTTTTTGTCATGCCGCCAGCGACCCAGATAAGGCCTCGATATTTCACGGTAGCGGGTCCCACCCTCGCGGTTTGCATCGGTTGCACCTCCCTCCACGTTGAATCCGCCGGATCGAAAGCCTCCATGCTCTTTAGAGTCCTGCAACAAAAACATAAAAAGTGTCTCTGTCTCCTTTTTCACGCGTTATCGGGTCCCGTTGTCCGCGATAAACACACAATTACTCGACTAATTAAAGTTTGAACTGCCGGTCGCCTTAAGGATAATTAATACACAAAAAACGGAAACGAGAAGATTGGACGTAATTAGCCGACAACGGTGTGAAAATAAATAGCTGGAAAAGAAAAACGAATGGAAAAAAACTGGCCGGCGGACGCAATTACGCTCTCTTTAACAACTCACATCCCGTTCCTGCCTTGCCCACCCATGGCGTACATTTTCCCGTGACTGACCACCAATCCAAAGTCCTTTCTGGCTGTCAGCATGCCAGGTTCATTGAACCAAGTCCTGGTGGCCGGGTCGTAGCTCCAGACGCTCCCGACCGCAGTGCTCTTTCTGTGCAGTTTGTCTTCCAGGGGATCTGCTCCACCTAACAATACGGTTTCTCCTTTATTCTTTTCATTCTTTTTGTTTTCGCTCTAACGAGAAACGTTCTTCCCTCTTGTCGCACAGGAGAAGTGAAGTATCGGGGGATATTGCGCAACCGACTACCATGATTAGCTACCTACTCCTATCGTTTTCAACTCGAATTGAATGCTCGCTAAATGTAGTTACCGTGTCGTGAGTCATTGTTGCCTTTCGAAATACAAGGTGTTAGCGTTGATACCAGTTTGTCAGGTATTAATACCGACGATTACGTCGCGCGATATTCGATTGGTCACTGGCCGACTCACCCACTACGTAAATACGACCTCTTAGGTAAGCGACCGCATGATGATGTCGTGGCTGCGGAATCTCGCCGACGAACTCCCAAATGTTTTCATCCGGTTTAAATCTGTACATGGCTTTGCCGGTGTTTCCGGCACGGCCGTATTCTTCGTGAGGATCGGTGCCCCCAAACACTAGAATCGATTCCCGATCAGGAAAGTATAAAGACTTGTCTAGGAAATAGCTGTCGGCTGTAGGATTCAGCATACTGTTACTGATTCTTTGTGGCCTGCAGATTAATATTTTTAAAAAATATTATTTAAAATATTATTTTTGAATTTTGCATTTTTTCTTTCCTTATGCAGAGTGTTCACTAATAGCTGGGAGGAAAAGGTATATGCTAAATAGAGAATAAAAAAACTTCGGTTCTGATTTCTTTCATTTTTGATTTTCATTTTATTTTGTCGTGAAGGGTAATTTTTTAAACTTGTTCCGCATCTTCTTGAACACCCTGTATAATTCCGCGAGATAATAGAAGAATATGATAACCACAACACTCACAGCGGTCGTGTGTAATTTGGACTTCGTATCTGAACAGTTTTCACGACGTTTTTCGCTCGCTGAACATTGTCACCGTCCTGATGATTCGCAGCCCTTTGTCCCTCGGGTTTCACATTGTTCTGAGCATTGTCATCGGCATCGGCCCTAGTCGATTTCGCGGACAGCAGTTCTTCTGTGTCGGTGTTATCCGACGGGGAACTGGTTATCTCGCCGTGATTCGAGAAAAATCTCGGGGACTTTATGGTCCTGATAGTGTTCATTGTATTTCGTTGATGTGACACGTTCCGCGGCGTGGGCTGTGGTCTTTGTTCCCCGGATACGTAAGAAGGGACACGCTCGCCATAATACTGCAACTTAAAACGTAAAATTAATGAAACTAACGTTTTCTTAAATTAATTAAGGAGGTACCTAAATTCTAACATATTTAGTTCATCTAATTACGAATTATAGAAGTATTTTTCGTTACAATGAGTCAATCACTTTTTATAGTTGCTCGTATCTTCCAAACTTTTAACGAAGAATAATGTACATTTCAGTACAGATATTACTCATACAAAATGTTGAAAGCAAATGGAACTGCGTATGAAATAAATTGCGAAGTATCTTCCACGATGGAGATATGAGCATTTTTACTTGACTCGTCTTATTTCCAGCGGGGCGTTGGTTTTCAGCTCTTACAGGCTGCTCTCTCTTTTTCCCACTTTTGATTTGGTTTGCCGAACTGTTTGAGATTCCGACCGGCTTCAGCGAGGACTCGCGGGATGTTTCGTCCATCGGAATGGCCAGTAGTTCCGCCACCTTCTTGATATTCCGCTTCTCCTCCGACGTTGATGTCTTTATCTACCGTTTAGGGAAACAACGCGCATCATGCGAGATCTCACTGTGTTCCATTCGAAAATGAACTCTTTTCTCATAAACTTGTGTTACATAAAACACAAAGTAAAGAATATATCTTTAGACACAACAGAAATCAAATAGCCCTAAACTTTATTCAAGTTTCTACACATTCTCAATGATCCTATTAATTCATCTCATAACTCTTCACTTGCATTTATCTACAGTATATTCAAACGTTATGTATTTAAAATTCATGTCCCGTAATATCAATGTAATTTACTGAACATAATGTTTAATCTCTAATATTTTACAAATTCACTATCAATCGCGTAATAACTTAGAATCCGTTTCCATAGCCAACACAGCACGGATCCACAGTCAGCGTTTATCAAAAAAACTACCCGAAATGTTTTGTTCGTCGTTCCCGAATCCCACCCGGATAGTCGTTTCGGTCCGACACCGATATATCGGATTGAGAGGTAAACTTTCGCGGCGCGTCCACTAACTTCGTGAAATTTCCTTCTAGCCTTGTATCCTCTGTAGATGGCCTGTATCGTGGTGGCTGCCTCCTCTTCGGATTTGCCGGAGTCCGCGGCCTCCTCCAAGTCCCTCGGCATCTTGGATCTCGTCTGTCCCATCCTCGCAGAAAATATCAGATTCGAGTCGTGCCGCTGGCACCGGCAAACATCCGGCGCGTTCTTCTCGTGATCCAATTTGCCGGCGTTCTGGAAAAAAGGCAGACGACTCGCCGACTACGGGGACCAAAAGTTTTCTCACCATCGCTATCTTTATTCTTTTCTTTCATTCCTCTCTTTGTCTCCTCGAGTTCCCTTGCAGTTCTATTACCGGTGAATTCGCGACACGGCGAGCCTGTTCCTGCTCGTGTTTCTCGATAGCCGATGATTTATGGGGAGCTTTGGGCGATTCCCCGCCGCCGTTGAATCTGGCGTCAAAGGCGGCCGTGTTCGCAGCTCTCACCTCGTTCTGCGCAATAATTCATATTGATGCTTGTACCGCACCACATACACCATGACGGAATTATTCCAACTATCTGCGGATGCGATGCAAATCGTCTTGAGCTGCATGTTTTCCAGTTTCAGATACACGCGATTTTAGTGAATAAATACAGAAACATTGTAGAAAACTATGATTTGAAATTCCTTTCGGAGGCAGAATAAAAAAATTCGTTTTATCGAAGATCTCAAAAACTACTCTTCAGATTTGCGAGCAAATCATTCGTTTAAGGAATAGAATTCGTAGATTTATTTCTGAAGATACGATTCAAGTCGATTTACCTTAGCATCACGGATATACAGATTTATAAAGCATGGTGTTTAATTTACTATGGGATCGTTGTAATCTCAAGGTAAGAGCTTATACGCCGTAAGTGCGTTCTCGACGAGTCGTTCGCGCCATCACAAAATGGCGGCGTAACGCGCACGGGATTTTTCGAGCTGCATAAACTCTGACCTTTTGACTACAGCTCCGTGACATTTCTTAGGCGAGATTTATTGTTTCCACTTACGAGCACGCCGCCGCTTACCTCGAGATTTCTTTGGCGATAAACCCCCTCGCAATAATCCCTGAAAGCAGGCAAGCGAGACTTAGTGAATACGATAGCGGTCGCGGCCATTTTCCTCACGGAGTTTTCGATCGCAAAATGACTCACCGTTAATTTAGCCAAGTTGAATCCATCGGTGCGGTGCGTGTCAAGTTCAAACACGCTTTCCTGAATCGCTTCCAATTATTTTCAATGTCTTCCATGACAGTACAACGTAGTAACATACTAATACGTGCATTTTCGTGTTTGTATCGCGAAATGAAAAAATAGACGTGAGCATGGAATGGTTTTCCGACATTAGTTTTCACGTTTAATAGATACATACGATATATACGAGCTAAATGTGATATACAAATTGTCTAAAGATTCGCGAGTTGTCTTGCGAGTACGCGACATGGGAAGGGAAACCGCTTCGTTCGTGTAATAGAAAATATTAATAAGGTAGGGAATTGATGACGATTAATGGATCCGTCTGTTTTGCGGCTTTTGGGACGCTCTTCGAGTGGAGATTGAGCCAGGGTTACTCACCCCTCTGCTTCGCTCCAAGTTGCTCAGATAGTCGTTCATTAATTTCGGTTGCATCATCATTGCCGGCATCTCGGTTGGCGAATAATTGGGAATTGGATGCGCCAAGTGCATCGTCACTTCGTTTTGAACTGCACCGTTATCACCTGTCGTAGTCATTACAGTCTATCTTACAAATAGATTGCGAATATTCATATCATTGCGAATGTAATATTCAACATTTTATTTTATAAGCTTATTCTTGTTAATCGGGATAGAATAGAGATTTATTGTTTTCAATTTTCTATGGAAATTTTTAGAAACTCTAAGAACCTACCCGAACTCTGGGGATAAGTATTAGCTACTCCAGGAGCCACAAAGAGATAATCATCGGGTGGCGAGCTAGGTGGAGTAGGCTTCGAACGAGGTTTTCGTCCTTTTAGCTCTGATATCTTCGTCCTTTGGTACTCCTCGAGATACAACAAAAATTCTCTGTATGTCACGTAATTCTAAAAAAGAATAGAGAAGTATCTTATTCTTCAAGTACGAAATAATCGTTTAAAAATAGTTAGTACCTTATCCTCGCCAGCCCAATTTCGATTGGTAGGTTCGGTAAGTCCTAATAAATCGATCCAATGATAATAGTCTTCGGTTTGATTACCATACCAATACTTGATGATGACGAAACTGGAAGGAAAGTGTGTGGTAATAAATTCGAAATCGAGTGTGTTCGTTCGAAGCTTACGCTAGACCGTCGTCGACCATTTTCTGCACCTCCGGATAGGACATCAGTTCCATGAACTCCGGGTTCTCGGGGTTTCTTTTCACGTCTACCAATTGCCAGGGAGCGATCAGTCCGAACCGAACGCATCTCATCACCTCTAACAGATGCTGTTTTCTATTCTCCCAGTCGTGCATCAGCCATCGAACCGCGGACATCAAGACCTCCATTTCGCTGATGAACAGTCGGGGTTGGATGGGAGGAGAGGGAACGAAACCAGAGGGAGGCAGGATTGAAGAACACGGACGAACGATACCTGTTCACAGAGATGTAGTTTGATTTCAGCAGCAGGCACAGCTCCTCGACGCTCAGCTCAAGGAAGTCTCTGGTGCTGACGAGCATTAGGAAGAATTTCATGATTCTGGGAACCATCAGCTCCATCACCGCTGTGTTCTTACTCTTCCTCGCTTCCAAGTACAATAAAAACGCTGTGTCCTCGGAGAACAGCTCGTCGTTGTCTATGAAGGCCCAGCACTGCTCTTCCAATTCTAACGAAGGAACAAGAGAAGCTTGAAATTTTCGCAAGATGACTTTTGACAATTTAACGCGTTTGGATTTACACTTTGGCTAGTATAGTGTGAAAATTACAGCTGGAAGTTTACTATGCTAAAATAAAATACTCAGAACTGACAAGAAATTTCTTAATAATGAAAGGAAATATTGTATATTACATTTCAATTGATAGTAGATTCATTACTATCCCAGGAACGAATATTATTTATAGTGTATTCATTTTATAAATGTGTAAATTATTCGGAAGATAGTTTAAGTATATAGTTTCAGAAACTCTTTTAACAGCTATGAAACATTTTCATTTATTTTTAATGAAAGCGGAAGTTGAATTCTATTTGCAATTTCATTTCTTGAGTACTGGTCATTTATTACACGCTTCGAAGCAGCGAAAAGGACGTAAATATCGCGGATGGAGTGTCTCGAAGACCTCAGTTTGTGTTGGATACGATACACCCCTTATTTTCTTCGGATCTCATATGGTTTATTGAAGTTTCGAGTTAGACAGTGACGTATTCAGCGGACACTAGAACGTCGGTGGCATCGCGAAAGAGCTCCCCGGCGGAAGCTTATCGCGCCGCGAAACTTTTCATTCTTTCCCTCCTGTAAACGCGGCCAAACTTCTGAAGTGTGTTGCGGGGGAAGGCGTGCGCTATATATTATGCAAGACAGTGCCGTTTCAGAAGATGGATGGGAATGGGAAGCGGTGGCGGAGGCGCAATGTAAACAGGATCATCGGGCGTAAATCCTTCACATAAATAAAGACAAAGGAGAAGCCAGGCCCGTGGGGTGTACCGACGTCCTTGTTCGCCATCAATCCTTTCATCATTTCCGGGAACGGTTGGTACTGATACGAACGTTCACCAGTGTTCGTGTGAATATATTGGTTCGACAAAATTAATTGATACTATTATATTGTAATATTATTATAATACTAAATAATAATCATGTTCAATTCTAAGCATTAAAAAGACGATACGAAGAAAAGTTGAAATATAGCAAAGTAATTTTTTAACGGAAAAAATGGAAAGGACATTTAAATAAACAATCGAATTTTCAGAAGTCAAAGATTGTAAGATCGAAGAATTGAACATTGTTTCGATTACTTTTCTAGCAGTTGCATTTATGACGTACCTTTGATACTAAGATACTGTGCAGCAATGAAAACGTCCAAAATGTTGTCTCTCTGTAGAAGACGATAGCTGTCACTGATCGGGCTGATCATCCAATCGTAGATGATAGAGAACGCCCTCGAGGACACGTCGCTCTGAATCACACGTTCGAGTTATCTCGAAAGTAGTAGCATAAATCAGAAATATTGACGCGAGGCTATACCGTCCGCGGAATGCTGGTTTCTATTTTTAATTAGTCAGTTTCCTTGACACGCGGCGAGCAAGCGAAGCGTCATTGAACGCAAGGAACGAGCGCAGTCCGACAAAATGGCCGGCACGTTACTCGCGGGGTAACTTTTTTAAAAGGCGACACGAGCGGGGCGTCGTTATTTGAGAGAGAGTCGCTATTCACCCTTAAGCAAAAAGTGAGTCAAATATAGCCACGAGCGGAGAGGGTGGTAAGGAGTTCAAGGTCGCTTGGCTGCGAGCCCACCGAGTCACTAGTGGAGGACGGGAACAGAGAGAACCAGAAGAACAGGATGCTGACACAAGACATTGGGGTTGCCTGCAACCCCAGCTACCGCCTACTCGGCGATTTCGAAGCTTTACCAGTGATTTATCAGTTTCTCCTCTTTTTCCGAATCGAAATGTCCAATCTGTATTCACATATCTAATCCAACATTTTATTCCTTAAGTTATCTTTTATTCTTCGTTATCACGTTATGAATGCGTGAAAAATGTTTTAGCACTTAAACAAAATGTGCGATCATAGTAGTACATAGTCAATGTATCTATAGAATTAATATAGAATTTTCTGTATAATTTTCATTTCCGATTTCATTTTCCAATTAAATTTATTTCTTGTCCATACAATCCAAATTCGAGAAATTTTAGGTATACACAACGACAGTCACAAGAAATTCTGCGTGACTGAAAGTATCGCGGGACATCTTCAATCTTCAAGGACCATAAGGGTGACACAATGGTCGGGAGATTCCGTCAGAGATCAAACGCGGGACCCGCAGAATCTGATCAGATCGCCGCCCACTCTATCAGACAAATGGCCCGACGGGGGGAAGAAGAATCGAGCGGAAGAACGCGTGGAAATAAGGGGTCCGGATGGTGGAGGGGTGGATGCGAGGATGAACGCCGATGTCAGTTGATCGAACACGGACGGCGTTGGAGACATGTTCTCAAGGAAGGAAAGCGGCGGGCAGAAAATCGGATCGCGCGAACAAAAGAGACTTTATTCGGCGAACTGCAGGTTTTTCGTACACCGATAACGTCGTAATAGATCTTGCGCGACAGCGATCCACGGAGTCGCTTCCCTCCCTGGGGAATATCTGAAGCTCGAAGCATCGTTTCCCGCTTTCCTATGTTTGTAGTAAATCGTTCGATGGAATCTGCACGTACAATGACGCGATTAATCTTCGCATAGCGAATGTTGGGTCGTTTTGATATATAATAACAGGGACTATTGTATTTATATATTCTCCTACTTATTGATTCATTTAGGTGATTCTATACACCTGTAATCTTAATATATGAAATTCACATTATGCATAAAATTGAAGGTATAATACCTTCTTAAAACTTGCGTACAATGAAAAATTTAATTACAGGTTAAAATGGTCATTTCTGTGCGAGAGTAAACACATTGGCTACTGACTCAGTACCGATTCAGCGCTCATCAAAATTCCGTACAGCTGACATAACTTTGCTACTGAAATAGAAACCACAAAGTCAAGATTTTAAATCAACGACTACTTTCTTAAGCTTCTTATACTTTATATTACATTATTATGTACTAGAAAACCAATTTTTGAAACTATATGAAAGAATTGTGCGACACGGTGGTCAAAGTGACGAAGTTATTGAAGAAAAAAGAACCTTGTGGTGGCCACACGATTCATTTAACGCGATACTTTAAGGGACGAAGATCGATGGCGGACGAGTGCCGTTGAAAGGAAATCCGTTAATGCTACCCCGAGTTTTCCGCATAAACGATACGACTGAAGAAATATCACTCGTCGCGAAACGGATCTCCCTTCGGGTCAGATGGAAGATGGAAATGCCAAATGATCGGAGTAATTACGCTATTTTTGTTACCCTGATGGATGTTCTTCGACACGGCTCCCCGGAGTAATCAAGGAAAAAGGGGTCGGTTTTTGGGGGACCTTCGGAAGATTAATTTCTTTTGACCGCTTCTACGTTTTACGGAACAATTACCCTCCTTTTCAGGAAATTTTAGGTCGCTTTTTATCGGGTTTTCTTGTGAATTTTTGGATGAATTATTAGGGAAACGGAATTACGATGTTCGAAGGGAAATGAGGTACAGCTTAAAGGCAGAAGTATTCTTAAATATAAAACATACAACAATGAAAGAGAGAATTTATCTCCAATGTTCCAAACAACTGTTCATCCTTAACACTAGAAGCACCAGTACGTCAAAACGTAGTGTTCAATTCACATTTACTAAAACGGTATAAATTCTTTCATAGGAAATTATTAAGGAAATGTACTTATGTATATGACACAATAAAAGTCACGTAAAATTTTAATGTACACAACATTTACCGGACATCGTAAACCAGTCTCTTTTAATCCTCGATACTTCTAACGTTAAGAAAAGTGTATCTGACGCTGCTTTGCACACTGGTGTCAACGCATCGTTAAAGATCGATAACTTACCCCGGTCAGGTCGATCTCCTTGCGATTCTTCTCGTCGAAGAAGCCGCTGTAGCTCTGCAGCACGAGCAGGTGGCAATGGAACTCGTCCTGATCGATTCGCACAATACAATCGGCGTTCCTCGAAAGATCGACAGAGGAAAATTTAGCCCGTAATCCTATCTTGTCGCGTCGTCCCTGCATTGTTTCATCGAGCGGACATGACTATAAGCTTACTTGTAATTTGTGATACGCCTGGCCAGCTCCTGATACAAGTCGGTCTTCTCCGGGAGAATTATGTTATCCCAATCGATTGGCTGCTCACCCGTAAATCCGAGTCTGCTCGAAATTACGCCGATCAAACGTTATTGGGGGAAACACCACTGGAAATCGCTCAGTCAAGCTTTTCCTTTTATTGAACTGACGCGGGTCGATGCGGTTTCATGAAAATTTACGTTGGTAAACGATTTGCACCACTTCCCCCTCTTCTACTCGTTTATTATTTTTATATTCGACTAGTCGTAGCTATCTTTGACCAGAATCATAGCTGAAAGTAAGGTTCCAGCGACCTGTTTTATATTTTTCCTTCGATCATTTGCAACGCGCGGAGTATGCTACACGTAGTCTTATCATAAAATGTGTTCTCTGCTGAGTGTAAATGTTTTAAACAGTAGGTAAAATCGTGATTCAGTTATTTATAAGTGGCAAAACGAAAAAGTGGGTACAATATTATATACTTAGAGACAACTGAGATGTTCTTAAAATTTTGCAGACCCTACAAGCAACGTTTAGTGGTGCTTATCCGATAAAACGGTTCCGTTTCATTCGATATTGCATCGACCCAGTTTTCGATGTTTTTCTCGACAGAATGTAATCGGCAGTTGAGAACTCACGCGGACAGCGGCACCTCCTGCAGCAATGGCGCTTCGTAAGACGTCGACGGTGTCGTTTGTTGTTTTTGCTCCATCTCTGCTGGAGCCAGTTTCACTTTGAACGGATGCATCGTGTGTCTCTGTGTGTCCTCGATCGCCGAGAGACCTTTTTGCGCCTGGAAGCAATTATCATCGACATTCCACGGACGTTTTTAACAAATAACATTTAATAACCTCAATAACATCGAGACTAAAATTCCATCGACACAAGACCGACTATTTCGAGCAAGCTATAAGCTATACGCTAAGTACGAAGTTGTACACCTACAAACCGTCATTTCATCTAAAAAAAGAACCATTCGATCTTTTCAAATTGTCACGCTATTTCCCCTTAAGTACACGATCAATCGAGGAACCATTAGAGCACCCGAACCGTTAGCCACGACATTGTAGTTACCTGGGATTGATTGATCATCGACGACGAGACTCCGACCGGCAGATCGACGAGCCTGGCCCGCGTCGAGGACTCGGAAACGTGTCCGACAGCCTCGTTTCCGGGCCTGTTCAGCTCGGCCTTGACGTTCACCTTGGTGTGACGGGGATCAGCGACCAGCACACTAACTTTCTTAGACTCGAATACCACCTAGAAGGACTACGCGTTTGCCTTGAGGCCAACATTCCGAAGATTCAACGTTCTAAGCTAGTGCTGAGCAACCTGGATGTGATCTCCTAGATGCATAGGTACGCGCGTGTCGCTAACTATTATCTGAAAGTGATCTGTGAACGTTCTCTTTCCTTATTTCATTCTTTCTGGTTTGTATCAAGCTTAAGCTTTGAATATTGTATCCGTTCCGTTTTGGGGAGTATGTTAGGTTTTTGATGGTGGTCCTAGGAAAATATTAGATTTACGATCTTCATCCGCAAAATATATTAGGTTTCCAAGTTCTGGTTCATATAGTATACTAAGTTCTCGATCCTAGCTCGCAAAAAATATTCAATTCTCGATTCTAGTTCACATAGAAAGCTAGGTTTTTGATTTGAGGTAGCAGAGAATACTGGATTTTCAATTTTAACTCATAGCAAGACAAAGGTTGCTCAGCACTATCCTAAACTGACCCACTGGATCGATGCAATCAGTTTACCTGATTCGGGACAATCTTCAGGTTACCACTCGGCGTCGCCTGGAACGGGAACACTCGCTGCGAGTCGCCGCCGTCGTTCACACTGATGAATGCGCGGTCGTCGCCTCGTTCGCGCGGACGCGAGTGCATCTGCTGCATCAGGTAGGCGAGATTCGGGTAAACGGCGTTTTTTCGTTGTTTGTTATCGCCTTTTTCTAAACTATAAATAAATGTATCATGGCCGAACCTCCGCGTTGATCTTTTTTCATGATTGATTTTATGTTAATCGATTTATTTCACATTTGCCTCAGTGACGTGTTTCCTGGTTCAATTATTATCTGATTTATGCGATCGAATGTCTCGTTTGGTGGAACGATCAATCGACGCGAAGCAGATTCGAGCAGTATTTAGAGCTCGTTACACGCCCCGGGCAATAACTGATTAATGCCACTGTCGCCGGGGCTGATTACTATCAAGCGGTACAATTAACAGCTATCAAGCAACCTAATTGGAGATCGTCAAATTTTATAGCAGTACCTGGAATTGGGGCAGTAAATACTGTACGTATCGCGATTAAATTTTTTCTCCGTAATTAATGACTATTTCGTAACGACTGAGGGATGACGTGACGAGGGCTTCGTAGTTCCCGCATTGAATTTCTAATAATCGTACAAAAACGGTTGAACATAATCAATATTAATCATAGATATCTCGCGAATAATGAATCCACTTAATGTTTTCCATCGTCGCGAATATAGACACAAACTTTTCTCGATCAAACTCTTGCACGTCAAGATCAATAAAAACAATTGTTTCATACATAAACAGCATCGAATTAACAGAAAAAGTAATGAAAATCAATAATAGCTTGCCCTTCTCTGAACATTAAAGCGAATTAAAGTAGAGTTCCCAGTCACCTGAACCGAGCCATTAGCTTCGAAATAGCATCATTCGAGGGACTGCATCGTTCCCCGAAGGTTCTACCGATCGTCCGATGCTTTTCCGATCCTCCGATCTGATCAGGATCATCCGAGTCGTCCTCCTGACAAGAAGCGGACCCTTCGCTCGACCTAATCAAATTTTTCGCAGAGTTGGCCGAATATCTCGCCGGATCGGATCTACGTCTCGCTCGCTGCTCCTCTATGCCAGCGACGCGATGATCCACGACTTGGGAACCGCCGACCTCCCGATAAGCGTGCCCGAGCGGTCCTCGTTGCCTCGATAAACGTCGACGACGTCTCAAAGTAGCTTTCCCTCGGTCAATCGAATCTACGTGGTCTCTCGCCGTCCAATTCGTCCTACGAGACACAAAATTCCAAGATTTCTATCGGAAATTTCGAACGCGGGATTCTTCACGCGACGCACGAAAATTGCCATTTCCATTCCGATCGAATGATTAATTCACATTCAACTCTGGGAAAGCGTCGACGAATTTAATTGCTTTTCGGAATATAGATTCTCGGGGGTGGCGAAGGGGGACTCAAAAGCGTTTCACGCTTCCGGTCCGACTGACAGAAACTTCCGAATCGGAAATGTTGATTTCACTCGAAGAAAAGTGCGAGCACCCGGAAACTAGAGCTACCAATCAAAGAGTCGAGGAAATATCAATATCTCTGGACTTTCCTCTAATAAGAGTTAGCATCTATTTACTTCTAATAAATGCAAAATGAAGCACGGTAATTGGTAGCCGTATTAGCCGGTTATTAGTGTCAGCCTTGAGAAACGAGTTAACTTGTCTACCTCATTGTGATAGACGTGAGGTACTATATTGTAATTGAACTAAAACAGACTTTTATGGACTTAAATACAAATTAGTTCTCGTAAAAATTCTGATCGACAGTTAACAATTCACGTTTCGACAATATAGTAACTAATCGATTGCACCTGACCTATACTTTACTTCATTCAATCCCAATTCGTACACAACTCTATTTTAAAATTTCCATTAAAACTAATTTTAATTACAACAAGAAATATCCAGAAATTCAAAGCAATCAAAATTCAATGAAGAAAAGGGATGAATACTTGTCAAAGACCCTTATTCACTAACACGAGGGTTTAAACGTTAAAACAAATATACAGAAAATGCACCGTTATTTTTCATAATTACTGAATGCAAGTGGTAATCAATCGTAATTCACCTATCCACGATCAATGGTAGCGTCTGTCTGCCGACGTCCCGTTCCGATTGACAGGGTCTGAGAGCTGCTGGCTCGGGGGAGGGTTTCCCGTGGTACAATACTACTACGCTGCTCTTGCTGTTTCCGGGTCGCGGACGTTCCGGCGATTGTGATCGATCCTCCGTCCCGACTGCGAACGGTCCTCGGATTAGATCGCCGTTCCTCAGGAGAATGACGGTGTCGCGGCCGTCCCTCGAGCTTTCCACCCCCGTTCCCGCGCGTATTATTACACTTCTTGCCGAGGAACAGATAGGCGAACAGGAATACCGCGAAAAGGAGCAAGTACATGGGATTGCTGGGCGCGGAAGGCGATTGCGACCAAAACTAAGGAGGTTTCCAAGCCGCGGAATTACGGGTTCGCTATAAACAGAGATGGGCAATAGTTTTATAACGAATCAACTTCATTTCGTAGCGGAATTGTTTAACTGGGTTTCTCTGTTCTATAATTTAGCTTCTTAACACGTTCGCTATCAGCGTCAAAATTTGCGCAGAGAAGAGTACATTACATTTACGTGTGTTTTCATCTTATATTGCAACGCATGGTATAATGTGCAGAATATCGCGGAGATTTCTTTCTTTATCATTACTTGTATTTTGTAAAGACGGTATGTTTCATATAATAAAATATTACAACCGCAGAGACTGTTATTGGAAGAAGTGCTGGTAGCGAATGGGTTTAGTAATGGTCATTATATTTCATTTGTTACTTCGAAAAACACGCGTTGCCCATCTCTGGCCAAGAATAATGAGATTGCTTCTAACGAGGAAAAATATACAAACGAATGATATGCCGATTCTGATGAATTTTTGTTATTAAGCAAAATAATCATTTTTTATAGGGGTAAAGTTATTGTTACAGGGGTGTAAGGATTGACATTAGTTGTAATCGATTAAGTTTGAAAATTGCTATTATAAGATTTTCCTAAATAAGATTTTTAGAATCCTCGTAAGAGTATTCCTAACCATGATTTCTATAACTTTCATTTGACTCTAATTTCGCGTGTTCCAGCGGCCTATAAAAACCGAGTAGATAAGGACAAAAAGGGGGGGATCTTCCCATAGGAACTTACTCTTCTTGCTGTTCCGACGGATCGCCCGGATAATTCTCAGCGTGCTGTTCCTATCGGCACTGTCAAAGAAGAGCATTAACTGCCGTTAGAATGATAGCCGGCAAAGAGAGCGCGCGTGACCCGACAAACTTCCCGGGTAATTACCAAAGTTTCGGGCCGGGTTTGCTGCTGGTATTCTCGCCACCGCTCAAACTGTTCTGTGCGGCGAAAGTTACCTGAGGCTGCAAGAAAAAGAACAGAGGTGTGAAGATCGGATCGATCTGCCCCCGCTATTGTCCGGTGTTTTTCTCTCTCTTTTTTTCTGTTTTGTTCATTCATTCCCGTTTTGAGCTCCGATAGAACTGTTTGAAAGCTAGCGCCTCGGAAAACGAGTTCCCGCTGTTAAACAATTTCGATGTCCGGGGTCGCTCGGCTTTTTCATTCGGGCCACTTTCGTCGCAAAAATGGTAACCGTGTAACGCGGAGTGACGTAAATAGCGGCTTACGAGCACCGCCACAGTACTATTGCGTTGCCGCTGCCAATTGGTGATGACAGGTCGCGTTATTTCCTACAAAAGACTGGCCCTTTGAAATCCTCGCGCTTTGTCGCTTTGACGCTTGCGGACTACCACCATGATCGTTTCGTAAAACTGGTTCACCATGCCACGCGTATCGTCTATTGTTTATCTCATCGAATCATCGCGTTACCTCATATTTCTTTTTGCAACTGCAGCCAGGGAAATGTTGTAAGCTCAACGGCCGACGTTTCTCGGAGTACTTGACTGCTTTTTCAGATACTGAAACGTGGTGTACAGAAAACTATCGGGCAAACCGTTAAATCAATTTTTAATATAGAATTTATATTTTGAAAGTATATCGTAAAGAAATGAATATTTTTTTTTAATTAATATTTCTGAAGATGTAAATATAACTGTGAAATTGTATAGTAATATTTAAGGTGTTAGAGATTCGAAGAACTACTTGGTAAATGAGCTATGTATATCTGGATACCGCCAACACTTACATCACTTACGTAATTTTGTTTCGACGTGGTCGCAGCTCGCGAAACAGCGACGGTGATTACAGCTCCTCTCAGACGCCTCGAGAAAATTCCGCAGATTGCTTCCGGTGCACTTTACAGTAGGCTGGTGTCGTGCTCTTAGATTTGTCCTCGTATCTCTGGAAACGGTGATACGTGAACAGATAAAATCGTTGAAAGTCTCAGAAAATTCTTTTAAATATTATATTAATTTTCTAAGGATCGGCTTCTTGTTTTAAGGTGTACAAGCATCTTCGTTCCGATACCTTGGTTTTAGCAAATCGAATTCTGAGGAGAGATAAGATTCGTCGTCAGTGGATGCAGGCGTTTTACATTTCCCCTGGAAATGTAACAATAATCGTTTACGACTTAAATTTTCATGGGTTTACATTGAATTCTAGATAGACGATCAAATGTGTCAGAATAAAATCTTTTAGTCGAATGGTTCACAATTGATCTTTTAAGTTATAGTCGCAAATACTTTGATGTATCCAAAGTGATAAAAGGATTTTCCTTGACCAATAATACTTGTAAGATAAAATGTTGAAATACACGAGAAAATGAAATTCAGTAAAAGGTCTCTCAAAAATATACATATTTCTTCACAACCATACTCACGTCATACCGCGAGAAGCTTTTTCGCATGGTACGAGTCACATTCGCTCATTAAAGATCCACTCGGAGCACCAGGGTCATACCAGAACGTCACTGTTTCACTTCCGTCGCGTGGTCACGAGCAAAAAACCGCTAAAAATATACGATGTAGAAACGGGTGGTTTGACGTTTAAAAGGACCGGGCGTTTACAATTAAACAGAAAAAAGAAACAGAAGAAATACAGGGTCGGCGGAATATTGCGGGTATTTGAGGTGGCCCTTAGAAACCGAACATATGACAGACGGACCATTGAACGGCGGCGTTCGCGTGTTAACCTGTAAACCGTGGAAAACAAGTTGACTTTTATTTCTAAGTTATCGAATAATTTATTTATAGTTTTTTATACGATTAATTTTCTTCAAATATTCATAGGGCCATTATTATAATATACTTAATACCGTAGAAAATATGTCTCTTTTTGGTACCATATTTTCATTGGCTGAGTACTTCCAACGGAAAAATATATAGAATAGTATTAAAAAAAATGTATTACATCGAATGATTTACTGCATTGAAAATAACATGAGGATTCATTGATTGACAAAGTGTCCAACAAAGCTTACAAAAATTGAGCTAGTGAATAGTGGCGCCATCTGAGTACTATACGCATAACTTCTTCTTTAAGAAACAATTTTTGAAAAACAGAATAATCGTCATCTTTGGGTGACTTGGTTGGTGCAATGAAAAGAATTTCTCGAAGTATATTTATAAAGCAAATACACATTTATTTATTTTTTCGCTTCACTAAAGTATGATATAATTTAAAGAAAATTATTACCTAAGAAACAGATCAAATTCTCACTCTAACTTTCCATTTATTCTGAACATCGGACACCTATCCCAAAAAACAGCTACCCAATTCAATCGCAAGTTACCGAAAAACCCCTATATACTCTAAATTCTTTGTAAAACATTGACCAAGGAAACAGTCTCAATCTTTGGTAGTCCTATGTCAAATCAAATTCAACATTCAATTTTATTTTAATATTTTTATTTGAATAACTTTCACTATAGTCATTTGTAACACCATCATTATATAATACGATACTACCATTGCATTTCTTAAGTAAGTAACTACAATACCACGTTAAACTAAAATTGAATTAAATAACGCAAGCTCCGCTGAGAAAAACCAAGAACACATACACTAATCTGTCAACATCCTAAGACAAAGTAGCTGAAAACGCTGCGCGCACGTCCCTCATATCAATCGAGGCCAATCGACGCGCGTTTCGGGAATGAAACGCGCAGCGATGTTCCGGGAACGTGTCCCGGGGAAACAGCTGATCGAAGCTGGGCCGCCGAATGTGGAGTATCCACGTGTTGAGCCTGGCCGGGCTTTAGCCGGCAACGAGCTCCGGCTTTTTGTTAAATGCGACCGTACATAAATAGAGGTTCGGTAACGAGCCGTTCGGATCCGGGGATCGGAAGACATCGTCGGTCTTTCGGGTTCCTCTGCTGCCGAGGGGAGAAGGTCGCGGAAGATGGGTCGCACGGGCGTGCGACCGCCAGAGGGGGTTGAAGCGAGGCTGCCAGTGGCTGGCGGGCTGAATCGATCGGGCTTCGGCGTCCTGGTGACCTCGACCTAATGCCACCCTCTTCTGCTCTTGAGCGGAACCCGCCTCTCCCAATCCCGCCGCCGCTTCCCTGAAAGCCACGGGGTCAGTTAGCACCCCCGTCAAAACACACAAAGCCCCGGGAACCGAGGAGGATGGCGGCGCGGCGAGCGGAAGAGGACACAACCGGGCTCTTCTAGGTAAATACATTCGGTTACAAAACCGTTGACCATGCTTTTGATACATTGAATTAAATCCGTCGTTTGTGCCGGTCAACGGACCGACCAGTCCTCCGCGAATCGAATTCCGCGTAATCTAATGCTCGCGCTTTGCTTTCATTACGCCACGGTCTGTGAACTGGCGTCAAAGGACATTCGACTCCTGCTTCCCACCAATTAAGAGTTGACACTTTTCATGTTTTGTAGGCGCTGGTGTTCGTATTTAATTAGAGTTGTCATGTATTTTTGATGTGAAATTCTTGGTTCGAAATACTGTTATTAAACTAGCGTTGAAGATGAAATTGGAAGCTTTAAATGTCAAAATTGTTGATTTTATTATAATTAAAATGATGAATACTACGCACTGTTTCTCTATTATCGATATTTCATGTTTGAAACAAAGAAGATCTGCTGGAAACACAAGCAGCTTTTGTATGTTATTAATATACTAACAGGACTACATCAAAAAGGATATTCCCTGAGTATAATAATCATATTATTGCTTACTGAATCGAGAAAGGGTATCCAAATGAATCATCCTCATTCTCTAATATCGAAACAACGAGCGGCCAATTGGTATTTTCGTCGGGTACCACAAATTTCGACTGCGACGGAATAAAGGGACATTCGGGATGGGCTGGTTAGGCGGAATATCGATAGCCACTAATTTTTCCGATCGAGTTTCAGCGGGGACGGTAACGAGTCCCAGGCTCGTTGGCGGTTCCCGTTCGTTACCACCGCGCACGATTCCGTGCTGTGCCGGTTTGAGTATCGACCGGAGTAGCGCTCGATTGTTCGCGGCACGAATTCCTGGTCAGTGCGTTCGGGCCTGGTGGCAGACAAATATCTCTGCGGAGGAATGCACGGCCGCGCGGCATGCACGCGATTCACGTCGTGTCAGCGGGCACGGGGAATTACCGGGCGGAAACGAAACACGAGAAACGAGCCCAATATTGCGGGCCGACTTACACGCGGCCTGCGATATTAAGTGCCGTGCAAACCGCCGCCAGTCCCGGGCCCGGGCGCAATAAGCCCGCGGGAACTGACGACATTATTGCGGCCGTGCTCATTTGCCCCCGTCATCTTGCGGGCTCGTATCAGGAATCTTTATGCAGATGAAGCTCGTGTTGCCGAAGGGCGCTGAACGCTCGTGCCATTTTCAGCCGGGCATCCCCGTCGACCCCTGTGATTAATCGTCGACAATGTTGTGCGTGATTTCATCTGCCGTGATTTCTCTGGCGGAAGTTTAATACTTTGGTAGTTCTTGAAATGAGCTAGAAGATGAATGTGGAAAATGTGTATGCATAGAATAGGATTTTTGAATAGAATATTAGAGTTACTTTGGTTTTCTTGTGTTTCGTTTGTCGTTTGAAGAGCAGGAAAGGGTAAGATTACAATGAAATATTCGAATAGTTCGTAAGGTTTTACTCTGGTTCGATAATTAGTTTGAATCGAGGACAAAATATCCTGTCTCGTTATTGAAAAACTATTTTGAATATTTCTATGCACTAACCACAGTTGTCTTCTCCGTTTTTATCCGATAGAATCATTGTCAGCCTATTCACGCTACTTGTAAATCTTGTCACCGGGTTATTAATTACTACAAAAGCATTTCTGTGTAAGCTTATATTATTCACCCGCACGGATTCTCTCCATCCCGACCCATTCTTTCTTCCCCAAAGCACAACTGTCCAATTCTGCTACGTTCCGTTCAGCGGGGTACCCTACGGAAGATTGAACGTCTATTTCGTAATGGATCGAGTCCCCCGGTAAATATTGTAGAACATCGCGGGACACCGTTTACACTTTTTCCCCGCCACCAAGGGAGAATCGAGCGTGCCCGGGGGCTCATGAATATGGAGGTCGTCGGTAAATATGTAACCACGTCCTTAATCAGCAGCGAGCGGACGCGATTGATGCTGTTAACGTGCAAGAGTTGCGCCGGATAAAAGGCACGGTTTTCATTGTACGGCCGATCGAACGCGGCGCGGCTGATCACGCGGCAAAATTCTCTGTTCTGTTCGTGGCCTGCCGTACCCGGAGCTGCCGTTATTGGATCGACATGAATATGAATGCGGGTCCGATCTGTCTGTCAATAATGATACCGTGTAATGGTAATAATAGTATCTATGAACAATGGTGTACCATCATTTCGCGCGGCCGACGGCGATCGGGTCGGACCCACGTAACCGGAACGCGCCGCGGAATATGGAAGGTGTCGTCTTCCACCGCAATAATTCCCCGTGCAGATATCGATTTTCCGTTGATGACGTCCGCATGCGCTCGCTGCCACGCACCGATGACCCCGTAATCGTTTGATTGTTGACTGTTTAACCCTTTTAGAGCGGAGCCCGCCTGCACAGTACACGCGAGAGCGCCACATGCTGATATTCTCCGCGTAAACGAACGAGGCCGATTGCACCGTGACTGTATTCGTAAGGGCATCGAGGACAATAGATCGACCTACTGTTAACCAAAGGGTTAAACGCGGAGAGAGTTCACGCCACTGGGGACTATTCTCGGGTTCTTCGGGTTCAATGCAATCTTGGAGATTTACGACTTGTGGGACCTTCTCGGAAGGATTAAAGATTTTTTGGATGATTTTGGAACGTTGCAATAGAAATTAAGGGATTATCAGCAGGTGTATATTTGTATTCTTTGCTATATTTGTCTAGGCTTTGACACAGAGTCATTATGATGTATTAAATGCAGCTGTAAACCTTCATATACTTCTGTGAGAGGCTTGAGACGGACAACTTGCTAGGTTGTTTTACAAATTTTCAGCAATGGTTATCAACAAGTAAAGATCCAAACGGTTCAAATTGCGTTTCCGCGATAAGCCAAACTCGTACTTATGCTACTTATGGAAAGCAGAAGAACCCACGGTTCACATTCTTATAAAATAAAGATCGCAGCTGTGTCCTCTGGAATTCTCTGCCTCAATCGCAACCTGTAGCGACCACCAGACAAAACGGGTTGGCTTCGAAGCTCCTTTCGACGAATGAGAGGGTGCAGCGGCTGTCAGGGAGAATAAAGATGAGCGAGGAAGGTTGGTAGGCCGTGAACGAAGAAAGACAAACGAGCTATGGAAGACACAGGCTAGATGGCCGGGAATCGTAGCGCTGCGCGGGGTTGTCGAGGGGCGACGGGCGATAGACGGGCGTGCATTTGAACAAGAACACGCTCCACTTTTC